AGATAGTGCCATTATTTCTCTTTACTGTTACTCACTGAGAATGAGCAAGTAATACACTAAGTAGAAACTGAATGTAATTATTTTGAACAGTTTATTTTGGCTATTTAATTGATAAGTCATTACTGTACAGCATGTCCAAATATGAAAATTGGGCAGAATACTCAAGAAATATGCATTGAATGTCTAACATTTACAGTAGCTTGGTTTGCATCACCCATTGAGTACAGTATAGGATTCAACCCCATATTTTTGGGACTGTTATAAGGATAACTATGATAACGTGAGTAAATGATTCTGCAACTCTATAATGGTCTTTTCAGTTTAAAACCATAAAAAAACTCTTGTTGCTCATTTTCTTTTGGAAAATTTCAGCAATGGTAATTAATTTCCTATTTCAAGAGCTCAATGGGAAAACAATATACAGAAATCAAAGTTGCTATTAATTTGTAAAGAAGAAGTAAGTAAAACAATCTTACACTAAATGTCTTAATATCATTTTCTACATGATCTCACTCTCATATTTTTATTTTCTTTCTGTTGCCAACCATTACAATACAGGAATATAATGAAGCGGCTAAATTATGCAATTGTATTTGCCAAGTGCAACCACTTAGTTAAAAACATCATACTGAACTGCCTGTAGCAGGTTTAGCATATACCCCACAGTATACAGTATATCATCTACATTCAAAAGCATTTATCAAGGTAAATGTATTCATAGACTTGATTTAATTGTATACTTTAGGCACTTTATGCAATAAGAACTATATGTCTCTACACATTTGCAGCAAAGTGGCCATCCATCTCTTGCTTGTGCCCTTGATTATGCTGATGTCATGTATTCAATTGTATCTCAAACTTGTCTTCAGACAAATGGACATTAATTTATAATCCAGTGTGTTGATTTGTTCCATAATGCAATTATAAGATACACATGTAAGGTATTCCAGTACTTTTCCTTTATTTTGTGTATACCATCTCATATGTTTGTCCACCTTTCTTTAATAGACACAGTTCACATTCTCCACACTGTTTACATTTGTTTACAACAATAATTAAAAAGTCACATTAGCTACATTTTCAGGAATTCTAAAACATTTCAGCATGTAACTATTCATGTTTTTGGAATGAAAAATAAGCAAGGCAGTCTCATTTTTATGATGGATACAATACATTGCATTTTGAGTTTTTCCATTAATGTATGGTTATGTCCAAAAAGAAAAGGAAAAATAGATATTTAAATGAGTTATATTTTAATATTTTAACATAATTAGCAACCTCTGATTTTTTTAAACAAAAGACTGATTTTCTGAAAATTGTTAAATTTGACAGTTTGGAATTCTTAGTTAATTATGTATTGACTAAGAACATATTCCATGTAACTATTTCTAAAGATTACTCTATTACTAGAAAAACAGCATGTATGACATACTGTATACCAAATTGGTTTATGCATCTGCATTGTTTCTGGGAAATGGTTTCTCTTCATCTTGAATGCAAGCAATAACTGAACCTCAGTGCCTCCTCTCAAGCAATAGAGGATACCCCTGGACACCCTCGTCAAATCTATTTTTAATACTTTTGTGGGTACATTTTCTGGATTGAATGGTGAATAAAAGTTAACTTCATCATAGAGGTATTTAAAGCAATCTTTGGCTGAAAATTATTTTTATATATCAGAAAATTTAAAAGAAATGCACATGCTAAATCATTGACAGATATAGAATATTTGCTATTGTTTGTTAAGTAATGAATTGTTATTTCAAATGCACATTATGAACACCCAAGAATGGTCACCACATCTTAAGGCAAGAATGACCTGAATTTATAACACTGCAGTATTGGTTTGGTCATTTTCATGTCACAGTATTCTGTAACAGGACCTCTGATCATACCAGTATGACTGTTTTCATTAGATGCTCCTCTTGCTATTGGAATGTGCATCCATTTACTGTACATACAGTACTTGTAAAGGCTGGAGTGGATGAGCACCTGGTGTAAACCTGATCTCCACATATGGTGTGATTACATTGGTAAAAAAAAAAGCACAGAGGAAAATTTTACTGTTCCATAAAACATGCTGGTGACTTCGCAGGCTATCAGATGTGTTCTGACTGCGATTTTTGTTTGTTTTAATGTGGCAGCGATATGCTCTTCCTTGATCAGTGTCTTGCTCGTTCATATTTCAACGCGAGTATATAGTTTACACATGCAGTATAACTTGCCTGTAATATGTATTTCTACATAAAGTGTTGTTTTTTTTCCGTTTAGGGCGAGCTAAACTTAAAAACCAACTTCTCATGACTTCTCAGCTGACAAGCGCGCATTTTAGATTTTTGATCATTACAGTACTACCGGCTATATATATTTTTTCAAATAATTAAGTAAAAATATAGTGTTAACTCAAGAATAATTACTGAACACACCCAAATTTATTTTCTAACTGGAGATGCACAATTACGTGTTTTAATCGACAGTTTATCAGCGAAGGTCTTAAGAAAAACACGTTGTGTTAGAAAAACATTTATTGTGTTATTTAGTTTTGTCGTAGAAGTTAAAACTGTTTGTTCCTTTTAAACAAATTATATTGTTTTCAACGGGATTTTTGCGCATATCACATTAAAAAAATATATTATCGATGTTATAAGCCAAAAGGTTTAGATACATTAAAACACTGCTTTACATAAAAACATTCTAACGGCTTTACAGGGGAAACACCATTAAAGCATTGTCTAAAGAAAAAGATGTACAGTAGGTCTGAAATCTGGAAATTCATTAATACAACTTGACATGATCTGAAAATAAAACCAAAATCCATCAGTCCATAAGCTTCTTTTAAGCACATTAGTGCTTTGAAATGACAATTGCAGTTTCCTTGTTTACCATTTTCCATCAACAAACTGAGGATTTTTAGCATTTCATTCCAGTGGGGAACCCCATGAGCATTCAAATAAAAGTTAATATCACGGCACCAAATTATTTCTGGTTCTTGTTTTCGTATTAATTCACTGTCACATAAACAAATTCATTTAAAGCGTTAGGCCTTACTGGAAAGGAGATTTTTAATTATGTTTCCACAATTTCCGTACCTTTTAAACACACATATATATATATACATTTGTTCCCCTTAAACTACAATTTGCCTAAGGCAATAATTTGAACAAACAAATAATAGGTTTATTCCATGGTGAAAAGAGAAGAAAACACAACGTTTCGGCCGTGAAGCCTTCTTCAGGTGTCAACGTCAAACGTTGTATTTGCTTTTTTCTCTTCTCAGCATGTCATAAACCTTTACTTGTTCCTTTGCAGCCTACGCTTGCTGACGCAGCTACCCACCTGAATTGAACAAACATATCACACTTGGAATTATATCAATTCCTCTAGTAAATAATCATTGTCTGAATCAAATTAGACTACCGACAGCTAGCATCTCTTGGGTTCTGTTCATATCATTTAATCTTTACTGTGCAAACCTCTGAAAATTATTTAATGTTACGTACCACTAGGTTTTATATAAATTATTCTAAATTCTACATATCATGATAGTCTAGACCTAGATGTGACCTAAAATAAGTTGTTTTCTCGGATCAACCCTTCACTGGCGAGCATAAATTACGTGTGTGGGGGGATCCATAACACAACTATGAGCAAAGAAAGAGTAGCATATTTCTTTTACTCGTTAAAGATGTAGTACACATTGTCTGCCGGTAGAAGGAACCCGACCCGTTTTAATCGAAAGCTGACTTACAGCAATTGGAAATACCGCACACAGAAAGAGCAGCGAGTCACTGTGTGCGTGTTGCTGAAGAGGTCGCACGTGGACTTAAATCGGAACATAACAGAGGGTGCATTTGCTTAGAAACAACTATTGCTTAATGTATATTCGCTATGTAATACAATACTCCGCTTGCTCTCAAACCTATTTGGAAACGGGGATGGATAAACTTGAGAGCCTGGGTCTGAGAAACCCAAACAACTGTCTCTTCTAATATTAGCATGCCTGTATTCTGTGATCTATTATTGTCGGTCCAGGCAGATCTTATTGTAATACAGCACTTTTATTAAAAGATTAGCACTATCTTCTGCAGTTGGTGGAAAGAATATCTGTTATCACCGAGATATTTGCAGCTGGGGGAAAGTGGGTAGACCCAAAAAATCGATTGGCATTCTTCGTGCGGGGATTTATTCAAAAGGCATGGAGTTCAGGAGGTGCATAATCTTGAAAAAAGTACTGGAGTAAATAGCGTCTACGTTAGGCAATTTTTGCAGAAATGTCGCCCACTCATTTTCATAGCACAGTGCCAAGTATGTTGTAAAGAATGAGCACTCGCCTACATAGAGTAAACAAAAGCCAGACGGCTGTTAATAAACCTGCATTATAATGAAACGAAGTAATGTCTTTCGATGTTGCAATCGTAAAACCAAGGCGAAACTGCTTACAGTGATATAATATTCAGTAGTTATATTGTAATGATTTTTAGATGGCTGGGTGTTATAGAAATCTGGTCATTTTGAAGAATTTCTTTTTCAGAGTTGGGATTCATTTGTTGTTGTTGTTGTTGTTGTTGTTGTTGTTGTTGTATAGTTCTCTTAATGTAAAGTATTCATATAAAACTATTTTTAAAACTTGTTTTAAGTTAATACCATAAACCTTCAATTTTAAAAAGATATTTATTTCCTAATATTATTGAACATAATAAAAAAAATCATTTTCTAATGTAAAACATGTGTAGGTGTTTTAATTGACCTTAGTTTTAATGTCAGTTATTAGGCTATATCATGATAAATATAGCCTTGCAATATCTTCCACTTTCATTATGGGACGGGCTTGGTATTCTTTCACATTGTATCAAACGCAGACGCGTACATACAGTACACAACATCCCAGACCATGCCCACTGTGCATAGTTTCCTGTACTATTGTTTTGAGAGAAAGTTTCGACTGGAGATGTCACCTGATTTGGATCGAAAGAACTTTTTTTTAATCTTACTCCCCACCCCCACCGATTAGAAGACCGCCCACCACAGACAGTCGGCCCGAGACCCCTTATAGATTTAAAAAGAGAGGCTGCATTCACAGACTGACATTCATTCAACTCAGCGATCGTAAGCAGATTACTTTTCCGCTGCCTGTTTCTTCACTCCGGTTCACTTTGCCTTCATCATGCTAAGGATGCTAAAGAGATATCAGCTCCACCCGGGCATGATTTTATTATTTATATGGCTAAGTCATTTAATTGAAGATCACAAAGTGCAAGGTAAGTGCGAGTATACAGTTATTTTTATTAGTACATTTTAGTTGGATGCCATTTAATATTTTGAAAGACATTTGTATGGTATAAAAAATAAAGTGTCAGGTTTAAAACTTTTTCAAGACCTAACGGGTATACGCAAGATCACTTTGTATTTACTTTTAACTTTGTTCTGAACATGCAACTCAGCTTTATCTTAATGCATTAAGCGCTAACAAAACAGGTGCATTTCTATTCGTTTTTAAAATATGTATTGAATATTTGGATATTCAAGCTTTTTACCTGGATATTATATTTCACTTGACTAACTAGCCAAGCATCGGTTTATGGTAGGGTATACTTGTGCTGGACTATAAATGAAGCACTTTAATATGTATAACAGCGATAACTGTGTTTTTAGGCTTCAGATTTCCTGAAGGAAACTTAAACTGGAAAGAATAATACAATTAATACCAGAGACATAACACGTGATTTTAAGTCTTCTGCTCTCCCTGCCAGTCAATTTATCTAGCAGCTCTAAATATAAGCTTCAGTTTTCAACTTTTTTATTACCCCACTTTTCAGGCAGTTGTATTAATAGACTTTACATGAAGTCTGTTGAGTCTCGTTTTGTTGGAAGACAGGAATAGTAAATAGCCTACAGATCTCACGACCCATTGAAGCTGGATGAATTAATTGCCATTGAACCAACAGAAAAGTCACATTGCTTATTTATTGGTAGTGAAGTCCCATTCCTTTCATACAAGAGCTAGCAGTGTAACCGCGATCCAAGTAGGTCAACTCGTCTCATGAAACACAGCAAAATAAATATAAACCTTGCGTGACTCGGAAAGTGTACTGCAATGACATGTCCGCCGCGTTGCACCGACTGTATGGTAATGCTGTGACTAGCAGTTAATCTTCCCAAGTGTTGAAGTAAATCCGACACTGCTGCTTTCTTCAGTGTGCTCTCACACAGAGAGTGCACGGACAAGGGGGATGAAGCGCAAGTGTACAGTACGCTACACATGTTTTGAAAAGCAAGTTTTCAGCTGTTAACATTTCATGCAGTGTTCTTTGTTTTAAACTGTAATTAACACCATCCATGTGATTGCAGTGGTATCTCGACATTTTAGCATTATTAACAAAACCCGTGTGATAGTAGTTGTATCTTGGTGATTTTAGTTTCTTCAATACGATTAATCATAATTTGATTTTAGGCTGGCTTTACACTATTGTACTGTGCTTTAGCATATTATTCATGCGGTACCTTGTCCCCCGTACTGTGACTCGTACTGTCCATTTGAAATCTGGTTTAAAACAGACGCGGTAGTATTGTATTGCTTTTTCCGATTTGTGTAGACGGTTGTCGTAAGGTAGGTAATCGTATTGGGATCTGACTTTGCAATTGTTAAATGTCTCGTCACGTTACAGAATCAGACAAAATACCGAGGATAAACAGACCACCATAAGCCAATATACAGTAAGCTGCACGTGTTATGTCTGGGTCATTGGCTTCCGACTTTAAGTTCTTTTTCTTTGCAGCTGGTAACTGCTGGCTACAGCAGGGAAAAAACGGAAGATGCCAGGTTCTCTACATGTCTGGGATGAGCAGAGAAGAGTGTTGCAGAAGTGGCAGACTGGGAACTTCGTGGACCGAGGAAGATGTACCAAATAGCACGCTTTTTAGGTGGATGATCTTCAACGGAGGAGCCCCAAATTGTGTACCTTGTAAAGGTACATGAAATTAAGCCCAATATATTACTATCGATGTACAGTGTATAGCAGTCTTATTAAAAAACGATTAAGTGCCAGATCAATAAATTTTATGAAGATAGCAAAGCTAGTTTGTGTATTTGTGAATAAATAATTTCATTTGGAAATAATTAATAAAAACGTGAATTCCAAGGTCATTACCCTTTTTCAATAGCTGCATGTCATTTATTGTGTTTAATTTGTGTAGAATCTTGTGACAATGTGGACTGTGGCCCTGGAAAAAGATGTAAAATGAACAAGAGAAACAAACCCCGCTGTGTCTGTGCTCCCGACTGTTCCAATGTTACTTGGAAAGGACCTGTCTGCGGGTCCGATGGAAAGACCTACAGAGATGAATGCGCCTTGCTGAAGGCAAGATGTAAAGGTCATCCAGACCTGGAAGTTCAATACCAGGGCAAATGCAAAAGTAAGTTCTTTAGTGTCTCTTGTCTTCCCCACTAAAAGATGCTGTGAATGCTAAGAAGGAGAAAGACTGTTGAAATGCACTGTTTGCAGTTGTGTGGAAATACACTAATGGTGCATAGGTCTTGCCTAATAATATAATGGTGATGTTGACGATATTCAATGATATTAAACAACATATTAATAAAGAAGTCCCTTCTTTAAAAAAAAACAACATGATCTACTTATAATTTGACTTTCTTATAGAGACATGCCGTGATGTTCTGTGTCCGGGCAGTTCAACGTGCGTCGTTGACCAGACCAATAATGCCTACTGTGTGACATGTAATCGGATTTGCCCCGAAGTTACATCTCCAGAGCAGTATCTGTGTGGAAATGATGGAATCATTTATGCAAGCGCTTGCCACCTGAGAAGGGCTACTTGCCTGCTGGGCAGATCAATTGGTGTTGCATATGAAGGAAAATGCATAAGTAAGTTATTGTCAGGTCCCATGTCACAATACCGAACTCTTCAGATCACTGTTTTGACACCTTTAAGTTTGTCTTTCTGCATTTCAGAAAAAAAGCCTCTTTTTAATCCTAATGATCATGAAAGTGCATTCCATTTTGATAGAAAATGTCTAGTTATAGACATAAGTAATATTTAAAAAAAGTTTAATGTCCTCAATTCACCCCCCAATTTAGTCTGCCACAGTTTCTCATTTTCAAACTGTTTTTTGTTATACATACCTGGGGTCATATGATGTTAAAACTTTAAAATGTTTTCCAGACCTTGTTGGCTTTGCTGTTATTAGTTGATTTCCATGTGTTCTGTCCAGATGCCAACACCCGTCTTACTACCACAACATGTAAGGGAGTAATTATGAATGGGAGACCTGGAGCCTCGTTATGCTATCATATTACATTGGTCTACATGCTTGTTATTTTGGGGAAAATATATACATGTACAGTATGTTTGTATATATGTATGTGATGGCACATCCTGATTCTATGTTATCTTAGGACGACAGTACATGTATGCCAAGCTCTTTTTATAAAACATACCCTCATGGCATACTTACTGAATCCCTTTATCTCTGTCATAAAATTAAGCCAAATCCTCATTGCTTTTAATTATATGTGGTGTTTATGAACATAAAGGGCAGTTTGCTAAGTGACTCTGTGGTGTTCCCTGGTTTTGTAGAAGCGAAATCCTGTGATGATATCCAGTGCAGCGCTGGGAAGACGTGTCTATGGGATGCAAGAATGGGCAGGGGACGCTGCTCACTGTGTGATGAAGTGTGTCCTGAGAGCAGATCAGATGAGGCAGTGTGTGCCAGCGATAACACCACGTACCCCAGCGAGTGTGCCATGAAGAAGGCCGCTTGCTCTGTGGGCGTTCTTCTGGAAGTTAAACATTCTGGATCTTGCAACTGTAAGTAAACCATAAAGTGAAAGACACTTCGATATTCTGTCAGCCACCCCTTGCAGACTAAGGAAAAGAAAAGACTGGAAATGGGAGTTGTTGCATGTCTTCTTGCACTGGCTTTATTAATTTTGCATTTTCTGCAAAAAACCGAAGTAGACATGAAGACTCATCTTTGGGAGCTATTGGGCTCCTAATTCCCTTCACATAACTAACAAGATTATATTTGAAGACTAATGTTTGCAGTTAGTGCAATCTTGCTAAGAAATTGTAGAAGAGTACATGGTAATTCTAGTAGCCTGTCCTTCAGCAGGTTGCCTTAAGACGATATACTTGCTGTCATGCTGTCAATGTAGGAAGACACATAAGTTGGCCATATCTTTACATTTGTAAATGACACGGTCATAATGGTAATCATATGTTAACCATGTATTTATTTCCTTGCTTATGGCTGTAATCAATCATTTTAAAATCCACTGACATTGATTTCTACTATGACATACACAATTAAGCCTTTATATAGAAGCATACATTCATAATTGTACATAAGGTGATTGTAACATTGGTGCCATTGCAGTTTTAAATACTAAGGGGCAATGTTAACATGATAACTAAATCAAGTAATATTTCTCAGCACAATGCAGTACATGACCTTTTTCATGTGCTGAATTACTAGTGTTACTATTAGGTACTGCAGAGGAGTCGAAGAAAATAACAACATTCCAAACAGCCAATCAGATAATGTCTGGCAAAATTGTTTTATTGTCAAATTGATATTTTTTCTTTGCCATGTCATTGTAGACTGAATGCTTTCATTTAAGAATATAATGAAAACAATGCATTTAATTTATCATCCCTTCTGTTAAACAAATAAAACAAAGGGACCAACTTTATAATCACCTAATAAATTCATTTCTATATATATATGGCATTTTACAGTTTGCAGGATAACAGTGGAAGCTTCCAGAACTATGCTCTCTTATTTCTACTTTGCTTATTGAAATTAACATTTTAGCTGTTTTGTTTTATTTTGTTTTTGCTGTACATAGTAGATTTGCTGTCATTCTTTAAGCATCAGACTGTCCATGTGGATTTTGAGGGATTGCCTATTTGTATTATTGGTCTGCCTGTATCATTTTGCCATGTACCATGTTCTGTAGAAATACCTCACATGTGCTATCCCTGTCCTAATAGCAAAGGTCGGGATGTGGTGCAGGGTTTTGCCCAGCCCAGTAGCATTGTTGTATAATCACATTTGAAACGAAGGATACCTTAAAAAAAGAACAAAATGTAGAACACAAGAGCACTTTTTCTCTGCTTTCAGGAATCTGCTAAAAAGGCCTGAGCCATTGAGCCTTCACATCTCCCCTGTCTTGCTGCAGTTATGACTTCCTAGATTATGTCAATCATGTTGCATAAAAGCAGATGCCACAAAGCATCACTGACTGCCAAATCATATAAAAACACAAAGCTTTGCTGTGGCTTTCAGAGGTCTTTGAAAACATGCACTGAGCTTCTGCGCTGTTGTGATCCTAATTTATACAACAGCTACCGTGTATTCCCCTATATAGCCATTACTGAAGACCAGGAGGAAGAGGAAGAAGACGAAGACCAGGACTACATGGCTTATATCCATTTATCTCCATTACTGGACGGGTAAACCTCCATCACAAGGAATTATGTCCATACTGTACATAAGTGTATGCTTATTTATTTTTTAAGAAAAAGGAAGTATACATATAGTTGAGTCTGCTAGATGTTTATTTATACTGTGTTGTGTTTTATAATTTATACATTTACAATGTCTGGCTGACTATATACCATGTTATTTTGTATTTTTCATTGTTGTTTTTTTGGTTTTGTTTTATGTTTCCTTCCTTTTTTATTTTTAAAGAAATATATTTGTCCAGAGAGAAGCAGTGTTATTTATTGTGGTGTTCAATGCTACCATGTAAAGTATAATTCTTCTGCAAGCTGTAAATTGCATTCCATGAGCTGTATAAAGCTGCTTATTACTGTCATTTTCTGTATCACAGATGTTTATTTCACACAAAATCGCATGTTAGCCTGTGTGTTTATTTATTGGAAATCTGTCTTTCATTAATGTACATAAATGTTTCAGGTTTTGTTTACAACTCATTATAACTGACCAAAGGGAGTATTTCAATCGTTCTGCAAAAGTACAGTATATGGTGCAGCACAGTAAATCAAAAGGAAAAGGTATTTTTTCTCTCAAAATAAGCCATTATTTCCTCATGTTGTAAGGCAGAGGACTGACAGACACCTAGTTGTGTTTCTTGATCTTCAGTAGAATTTATTTTGTACTTTTAAGATCAAAATATCAAAAGTTTTTGGAAGATACTTGATTGAATTAAAATGTGCCATTATATTTCTTGTTATTAAGGTATTTTTTATTTGCATTGAGCAGCATATAACTTTTTGCTACCATTTTTATTTTTTCATTTTCAATAATGTACTGCGCCATATTGCTCTTGCGGAGTTCACAAAATAATCAGATATCCAGCATTAATTAACATTATATCATTCTGTATCACTTTGTTTTTCTCACTTTTACAAAATGTGTTTTTTTATTTCAAACATGACAAGTTAAATACAAATTCAGTTATAAATATATAGTTTTGTATTTTTTTATGTAAATGTCAAATGTATATAAAAAGTTATAATGGTATTTGTACAGATATGATGAGTGAAACAATAAAATTGGAATTTCCCTTACGATGTTTTTTTATTCAATTTTAAATATCACACACTAGAGTCATTTTAAAATATAAGGATTATAATGACAACTCACAACATCATAATGTTTTCTAATTTTATTATTTCTGTATCCATGTCTAACAATGCTACATAAACATAACATTTTGTATTAACTGTACACATGGTTCATTGACAAGTAGTCTGTGATATAAAACCATTAAAATGTTTTGGGCCATTAAGAAAGATCAACATCAAAATCCTCTTGTATGACTTCCACATAGAAGACAGAACAATGTGGAATCTTACACAGGAGTTAAACAGATGTCTTCTCTTGTACTTCTCAACTTCACACAGAGTTCAGAAATCCTGATCCTATTTTGTTCCCTATTGGGAAGGTACTTTTATCATGCAAAGTAAGAGCCCATTAATTATCAGAGATAATTGGTCTGTCTCCCTTCAGTTTAGAATCTGTGATTAGCTACTGTAAGGAGGATAAGTCAACCAAGAGAATTATTCAATTGTGGTTTTTCACAATATTTTAACTCCATAACAGACCTTTTGAAATCCGAATCTGGCCTACTGATCCCATTTGCAAACATTCTGGATTAATCTTTAGAAAATCTAGAATTGTTAATTATGTTTGATTATAGCCCAATTTAGAACTGCCGATTGTGTCATCCAGGCTGACAGTGACATCATCTTCTTTGACCCATCGAGTCAAGTCATTCATCTTTTGACATGGTACAAGTTATAAAGTGACATATTGGAGGTTCAGCTCTAATTGAAGGAGATGTGCATCCTTAAGTGCCAGTATCACATGCCTGCTAGAGTCTGGAAAGTCACAGTGGTTGCTATTTTGCTGTTAGTGGAGAGAACAGAGTCCTTCCTCTGGCCATGTATGGGGAATCCCAGTCACAGTTATCTAGTGCCATGACCGAATATCTGTAATCGTGATCCCAGAGGGCTATGGTGTTTGTTCCAGATCAGTTCTGTATGACTTAATTGGATCAATCAGTTGCTTAATTAAGTTTAGATGCATTTTCAGATGTCTTTCTATTGGCCTTTTAATGGGTCCTGAGTACTACAGTTAGAGACCCCTTGAACTTGTTTCAGCTCCAGGATTTCATCTGAAAATCCTTAATGTTTAAAGATAATATTTTGTTCCACTTATGGCAAATGTGCAAATATGGCAATCAGAGAGCATCAATGACATGACAAGTTTATGACTCTTAGTTTACAGATAGAATCCCATACTGGCAGATGAAGTATCAAACTGTGATTTAATTATACCACATGGTATACAATAAAATGGTACCCTAAGTCAATCAAGACTAGATAAGTAACAAACTATATCAATAATATTTCCCTGATAAATTTGAATGCTAAATAAGTCTTGTTTTTGCTTTGTCTGATGCCAACATAATGAAGAAAAGTTAATTTTATAGTATTTTTTAAATTTTAATATTTTTATGGCTTAGTGAAAGTGACATACCATATTGTTCACAAGAAATGGAGAAGATTTGAATGGATTCAAAACAAGCACGGTTCTTTTCTTAAAGTAAATTGAAGTTAATGTACAAATTATGAAATAAGTTCAGTAATGATGCAGTCCATAAGTTTATGTAAGTGAAATGTAGGCATTTCAAAGCAGCAATATATTTTTGTAACGTGGTACCATAATTGTACACAGTATTCAATATGAGGTTTTGCAAATACACTATATAATTTAAACATAACATCTTATTATTTTCATACTTTACGTTTAGCTACTGTAATATCACATTTTTGTTTGTCTTTCAATGTGTTTTCAAAACACTAAAAATAAATCGTGGCTAACAGGGCTGCTTAGGTATAGACATTGCAATGAACCAGAGAGAACATAAGCAAAGGTATAAATGAGAAAAAAGGCCAATTGGCCCACTCCGTTCATTTGCTTACGAATAGTTAATTGATTAGAGAATCTCATCCAGCCAATTACTGCACCTGAAAGGCAAAGGAGTCTACATATCTTAACAACCTGAATCAGCTCAATATTAACGTAATTGCATCAGTTTAACAGCTTCTCCTAGTTCTTTAGGTGCTGCTTTAAAGAGACCCAGAAAATGTGCATTTACACAAGCCCTGGACTTTGTTTTAGTCTTTCAGTTTAGGACTGAAATGTCTCTGATTACACTTCCCTGAACTACTTCTGAAGCAGCAATATCTTTTTTTGTGTTGTGGAGATCAAAACTGCACACAATTTTCTAAATGAGATCCTCCACGTACATTGCCCAATTTTAACATAACATACCATGATTAACATTCTTTATAACCTAGTGTTCTGTTTAGTTTTTATTGCTTCTTCATTTATTGTAGAAGATGTAAATACTCTACCAACATAAACACCTTCAAGTTTCTTACAGTACGTTTGTTCACAAATTTCTTGAAGTATATCTAAATCTTTCATTTGCAACTTCTTCATTGTTTCTGGATCCTTCTATTTTGGATTAATCTGCAAATTGACTATTTTAATAACTATACCAGAATCAGATCCCTGTGCTATTCCACTAATTACATTGCCCCACTGTACTCTATTTTCTGTTCATTAGCCAGTTCTCAATCCAAAGTCTACAGATTGCATTTAAGAATTATTTTTTATGAGGAAATTTAACAAAGAATTTTTAACACATTAGGCAAGACCTACCTTTTCTAAATCCAGATTGACTATCCCTTAGAATCTTATTCATACAGATGATCCTCTAGTTCAGTTCTATGCTTAGTTCAGTTCTAATTAATGATTCAATAACCTTACATGTAATGCAATTTAGATTTAGTGACTTTACTTGGTTCCATTTTGTCAGCTTTTTTATAGATGGGCACTCCATTAACACATTTCTAGTCAGTGGGCATTACTCCTTATAGAAACACAGCTGAAAGCATTTTGTTAATGTGCCATGAAGAACATCTCTTGATACAGTATCTTTATTGTACCAAGTATAACTGTTAGCAGCAGTGGGGAGAAGTGGTTACAACTCTTCCTTCCTTACTGGAGGGTCATGAGTGGAAATCCCAAGTGAAAATTGTAGCTAAGTTCCTATGTGCCCTAGCAAGATTCCCATAATCCTGTGTGTAAAGAAATGCTTCCTGTTCACAGATTTAAATGCACTTCTGTGTAGTTTCCACTTGTGACATCTGGTTCGCCTTTCACTTTCAGTTCTAAAGAAGTTCATTGGGTTGACTTTGTCAATGCCTTTAAAGGTTTTCTGTCAGGTCCCCTCATAGTCTTCTCTGTTCAAAACTAAAAGGGTTTAGTTCCTTCAGCCTATCACTATAGGACATTCCCTTTGGCTCTGAAGTGTATTTTATTCTTCTCTCTGTACTGATTCCAGTAATGTGCAGACCTAAATTGTACACAGTTTGTGCCCTTAGGAGGATGTCTTATACAGTTTTCCATATCATGCTTTTATTTAAAGAATATAATAGACTAAATGTAGAATAAAAATAAAAAATTCTAAATTTTTAATTTTATATCTTAGGATTCTATTTGTTTCTCTATATTTTCTAGAAAATGCAAATGATATGTTAACATAAATACCTTTTTCATAAGTTCATAAATACCTTTCTCTTCTAGTTCAGCATTTCCCTTTTTGTATTTATATTTTACATTTCCGTTTACTGAATGCAATAACCTGCAATTGTCCATATTAAATGCCATTTGCAAAGATGCCCAGTGATCCAGTTTTAGCACTGCATCTACAGCATGTGCTATCGGGGTCACCTGCTTTGTGGGTACAACATCAGATTTCATGTTAATGCTGATGAAACCTAAATTTATGTTTGTACATAAGCACTGTCACATTTTAAATCCAAACTCTGATAAGACCTAAGTTATGTAGCTTGGTTTATCTTATCAATTTGGAAATGTATCATCCTTAGTTTGACTGTTGATGGTCCAGCAATGAGTCCATGTACTCGGGTGAGAAATGCTGGGAACTGAGACTTGCATTTGTAGCTCAGATTTGGAATTATGTGTAGATGTCTCATTTTAATTGATTTATATTTGTACATTTATATCTGTACAGAACATTTATATTTGTACACATCTCTCTCAATCTGATGCAGAAAAGCTCATGCCTGCTTTTATCTTCCCCAGACATAATTATTATAATGAATAACATCTGTTATTTGTAATTTGTAACACGTTTGTAACAAGTTGCAACATGTTGAGAGCTCAGTTTCTTTTAACTTAGACTAAATGGTGTGGGTATATAACACCTGTTTTAGCTTCCTTACACTGGCTCCCTATGCATTTCAGAATAAAATTCACAATGCTCCTGTCATATTTAAGGCCTTAAACAGTCTGGGTTCTGACTACATCAGTAATCTGTTAAGTCCTTTTACACCTGCATGTTGTATGTCATTTTCGGACTCTGGTTTTCTTTCACTTCTAACAACAACGCTATAATACTGGAACACTTTGTTTTCTGTTTGTTTTCTCCAGGGGTGTAGAATGATCTCCCAGTCTGTATTAGATCTTCCAAGACAGTCAGCATTTTAAAAACCGTTTTCAAAACTCATTCTATACTATATCAATTATCTCTAATTTAATATGTTTTGTGCATATTTGTCTTTATTGATTTATTGTAATGAATGGCGATATATAAAGTAAAGATGATGAATATTATTATTGAATCTCAAATTTAAAATTTTAGGGTCAATTCTTAAAAACGAAAATATTATAATTGCTTACTTTCGTTGTATCTAAATAAAGCTCTGCAGTTTTTGCGGTTCGCGATTTGTCACCGTTTTCTTCTGTATTGCTGGAGGACAAGTTTGGGCCTCTTCAGGTGCCGTAGGTTTGGCTGTGCGTTGAAGTTATGGCGTCTTCAATGTCACTCCTGGCTTTGAAACGGGTGTCTTTACTGAACGTAATAACAAAATCGTTATTGAACTCAACCAGGTAAAGATGTTTTATATGCATTTAGTGTGATAAGTAAAATATGTGTTAAATAATATAACTATAAGAAAGTTGCATGAGCGTTAACTGTTTTTGTACGTGTAACTAGAAACCATATTTTGTTTCACCTGGGCCTTTTCGCTCGTGCCAAAATGCAGTTTAAGATGTACTGTAGGTTAAGCTGTTTGATTTTGCATTGTCTTTTAGGTGTAGGTCTGTGTGTCAGATGAAGTGTGTAGAAAGCCATCAGTACTAATGCAAATGTTACCGTGCTTTCTCTGACTGCATCTGCATTTGTGTGATTCTCTGCATTCGGAGAATAGTGCTCTTTTGCTTACTGTGTCAGTGCTGTAAATTACAATTAGAGGTTTGACTGTTCCCTGTAATTAAAAAGAGATATTTCGGCGAGGGCTTCATTTGTTAACCAAATCTATGTCATATGCGAACATAAGCGAACTTAGTATTTCTATTATTTAAGTGTTGGGAATGACATAATATTTAATGTCTGAATTGTGAAGAAAACAGCACTTATTAATTTAAATCACTGAAAACTAAAGTCGATGACTCCTTGAATATCGAAGAATTTAGTCTTTGGTCCAATACACAAAGATTGTAAGTCGTCCAGGGACACCCACAGAAAAAACTGGGTGCTTACTTTTAATGTTGGGGGGCGGACATGATTTTACTAGCTACCAGTGTTTATTGGCTGGATTCTGCAGAATCAACAGCTATCACTCGACAACCGTGTGCTGCGTGACTTTTTTTCTATATCGCTAAGCTACATACTGTATTTATATTTTCATTATTTCTGGCCAGTAAAAAAGGTTTCTAAAATCTGTACTTTTGATTTAGTTGTTTTGCATGTGCAACATATAATATTCAAAGCATTTTTTTTCAGTAAGGCTTTAAAAAAATAAACACTTTAATCAGTAAAACTTACAATGAGCTAATACAAAAAAGAGTACTGTGGTTCTATGCAGAATTTATTAAATGTAGTAAATCTACAAGGAATCTTTTTTCTTTCTAAAAAGAGGTATAGGCCAAGTTAGGTTCAGTGTATACACTCCACTCCCAAGTACATATGTTTGGGCTTTAGCAAAATGCTTTTATTGGCATTGCAACATAGTTGATTGGATTAAAAAAAAACATTTATTTCATTCTATTCAAACATTTTATTTCTGCAATGTATGATTTATTTGGAAAAAAAATGTTGTTCTATTATACAGTATATTAACATTCCATAACAATACATTAGACACTGTATTTATTGCTTTGAATCAGGGTTGTTTTGGTTCTTATATTTTCCACTCCCTATTGTAGATATTCTGTTCTTTCAAAACTTCCCAAATAAAAGTCAGAGTACTAAAAACTGAAATTAATTTTCCGAATGAACATCCCAGACAGTATCATATTTTTTCCCCCTTAAAAAGAATCAGACTCGTTAAATGAAAACAAGTTTTCTAATCTATTATAATCTCTGTCTATAATTCTCATGTGGAACTGCATTGCTATCACAGACCACAGCAGCTTATCTCGGTGAGTGACAGACTGCCTAGACACAAAGAGTCTCTTGCCTATGCCAGGAACTTCCACAGAATGGGTAATGCGGTATTCAGACTTCTCATATGGTGGTAGAATCTGTAGGAGTTGTTAATTGTGCCAACCTCTATTCACACTTTCAAAGTTCTTTTAAAGTAGGGATTTAATCCATTGCATGGTTATTTGGAGAGTATTTTGCAAAAACCTATCTTATTTATAGCAAAAGGGTATTCTGTTTTTTGAAGCACAAATGCTGTCATGGAATAATGGAATATTGGATACCTGTGGTAGATATGTTTTGCAGAACCCTTACTTTTGCCTACATTATAAGAGTGGATGTAAATTAATGTGAATTTATCTTATTTTTTCTATCTTGCCGTTAAAAACAGAAACATAAAACAATTCTGATTTAGAAAGTAAAAGGTTAATTACCCTTAATAGCTTAATGTTATCTCTCATTTGCTTTGTTCCTTTGCCTTTTGGATATTCAGTCGAGTTTGAAGGAAGAAGCACATCATGTGTGTTTTTGTACTGTAGCAACTCTGTTCTCTGTGGAAGTTGTAGGCCAGATTGCCATATCACCCCCAATTCCAACTCACAAAATATAAATAAAAAAATTGAAGTATTTGGAATATGAACTTTTAGCTGTTACACCAGTGAAATATGAGTTGATTTTCTTTTGTGTGGCTGCCTGATAATGTATTTATAAAGTTACTATTAACTTGACCTTTGAAATAAATAAACATAAGACTAATTAACAAAATTGTTTAAATCTTATTGGTGAATGTCAGTTTGATTTGTAATTTCCTTAAACATGAATTAAACTAATTTCACTGCATTGTTTATTGTTTATTTTTACTGGTATTGTTTTCTACCAGTGCTGTTAAACCAGTATATAAGCAAAGAATTGTAAGCTTCATGGTTTCTGAAACACTTTCATTTAAGAGAACTGTACGGTTTGTTCAGAATTGGTAGAAAGCTTTTTGAAAATGTCCCTTACATATTCTTTATTTCCCAAGCATTGTGCACTAGTTCAATAAACATTAAAACAAAAATAATACACACTGTTGTGGTAACGAGTTAACCTCATCTGCGTTTATTTGAATCTGTCTCAATGTTCCTTTATCTAGGGACTGGTGTTTGGCTAGGATTAGACTGTCCTGGATGTGTTGGAGAGCTGTTTGTGTGAGCAAATAACTTCCTGCTGTTCCTCAACTCTTTGGTCTGCACATGTGATAAGCTGTTTTTTAAGTTCTATTACTATTTAAAACGGTTTCAAATTGTAAAAAATTAAATGTAGTACATATTAGTTTCAAGTTGATTCAAATTCTAAAGATATTTGCATACACAAGATAGATACTCATTTAACATGCTGTACTTTAGCTTTATTAAGGCAAGTGAAAAAATGTAATCAATTTTCAGTAAAGAAAATAGCTCTGATAGTTTTGTTTATGGCTGTACGTATAACATGTATGTTGCATAGGAAAGACACTTCTCCAACAGCAGCATGGCTTGCCATCTGCTAGTGGTAAAGGATATTGGAACAATTAAAGCCTAAAACAGAAGAAAATGAGTTATGAGATACAATATTTACACTACATTTTCTGATTGGTACAGGAAAACGTTGCTGGTCTAAAATGATCATTTTACAAGTTTATTTTGTATTGCAAGTTTATTTTTGTATAATACTTCCTCAATATGGAATTGCCAGTTATTGCTGGGACTCTCACAGTGATGTGGGAGAAGAGAGGACTGTGCCCTCTTTCCTCTGAAACATAGCGTACACCTACTGAGCTGTCTGCTTCCTATTTACACTGTGAGCCCCAGCAAGCGTTACCTTTGATTTGCCTGTCAAATGCTACTTTCACGACTGCAAATTTGCTAAACCCTTTTGGAAACAGGCTCAGAAGCCTGAGATGGGCGGTCTTTTCCCTAGCTGTTCAACCAAAAAAGCACGTTTTTAAAAAGTACTTTCCAGCTCCCAGATGAGTCGAAGTTAAGGATCTTGCCAGCTTTCACCATGGTGAGGGCTTCTTTCTTGAGGCCAAAATTGCAGTTTATTATTGGGCTATTATCAGTAGTGGAAGTAGAAAGTCTCCCATGGGGTCAAAAGGGGATGTTTCAGGCCGAGTTTCATTGCTCTAGCTGTCAAACTTTTCTTGCTTACAAGATGGAGTGTGTGCTGACATACTGGACCTCTGTGTTACATTTCTGGAAGACAAGAAGTCTTGAGAACTTTTTATGGACTACATTTTGTAAGGTGTTAAACAGGAAAAAAAACAGAATTAATTTATATACCAAGTTAGATGCAGGCGTTATTGACTAGAAGTCTATCATGCCCCTATATGTTAGAAAATTAAACATTAAATTGAGGTTTATTTAAATGGCCTGCTATAATATACACAGCAAATGATTATTGGAACTATACAGTGATTTTTTTCTAATTATTTTAAAATAATAAAACTAAAATTTAGACTTGTTACCATTATGTGATGTTCTCCATCTCCCTGCAGAGATCTTCCTCAAAGCTGGAAATACTTTCACTGAGAATGATCCCATTGGTGGATTGGGCCTCATTTTTAATATCAGCCTCTGTGAACATCATCATCGGGTGCTCCTAGAAAGCTTTACCTTCTTTGACATTGATGACATTGGTGGATTGAGCAACCTCTGGACTTTATATCACAGACCATTATGAGTTTCCTTCACTGATACATGTGTGTTGCACAACAGTTATTATTAGCATGACAGATTGTGACTCATTTCAAAGACGTACTGTACATAATACAACACTCTGGATACCAGCTTGCCCTCTGCTTACAAAACATGGAAAATCCAACCTTTCATTGTTTCTGTATGAAGTTTACAGCTGTGTAATTTATATTAATGAGGAAATTGTCTTTGAAAACTTTTTGGCTGTCCATTTTCACAAAAACATAGGACTAATATTTCCCCTTGGTGCTAAAATTTCTAAAATATCTTGCTATCTTCACCTTGAAGTGAGTGGGGAGCCCAAAGCCTGCTATAGTTTTATCTATGGTAACCAGTGCTAGAATTCTGCATGCTTTTTTCACCCAGTTTGTGACGGAAACTGATGTGGTGTTTAAAGATCAGTCAGAAACGGTTGCAATAATAACCAAGTAAAATACAGGTCCTTCTTTAATTTCCACATCTTAGTGAACAAGGACTTATCTCCAAAATAACTTAGCCTCTATATTTTCCCTTTTTGAACAATGGTGACCAGTTTTTGCTATTCCTTTTAGTTCATCATTTAATTTATCATAATAGAAATATGTGGATTGTCAGTCATTACTTTGTTTATTCGGCATATTTTAATTGGTAGGATCACTGGCATGACTAATGAAATTTTCAACTGATGGATTTTGTTTTAAGAATTTTTGTCATTGTTATGTTATATACTGCAACAGTTAATGAAAGGGTTTGTCATCACCAGTCATGTTTTTAGTCTGGATTTAAGGGTGACTTCATGCACCTATTCTCTATCTGCTGAAGCTGGATTAAAAACATAGCAGAGGATTCCAGCAGGGATAGAAAACCATGGAATGTCTTCTACTTGGAATCTATACAGGTCATCGTGTCCTTAATGGCATCTATAAATCCTTGCAATTCATTGCATTTTGTGCACTTCTTTCCTGAATGATCTAAAATAGCTGGTGGATTTTGTAAATGTTTTGCTTACTGTGAAACTTGCCTTGTCATGTGACTCCTTTATTTAAATCTGGTGGTTAAATGATGTATTTAATAAGATTGTATTAATGTTGTCTACTGCCTGTTATATAGAACCACTGTTAGCTGCTGTATTCTTATGTAGAAGTCCCTACATCTTGGTCATAGTAGTGTATATTGTGTTCATGGGACTCATGTGATAATGTAGGGACATCTTAACTGTGTATTTTATAGTGTGAAAAGCTCCTGTCCGAGGTCAGATGAAGCTTTGCGTTTTTTGCTTTTTTTTGGTTTACAGTTTGAAGATAATTGTCCTGAAGTCAAAGGATCACAGAGGACATATGCAGGAAAAACTACTTGCTATTTTTTTTTCTTGCTGATAACACTTGAAAGGAGTTGACTGTGGACTAGTATTTTTGTGAATTTTTTCAAACGATTTTTTAAAATTCACTATAGATTAGGAGATACAAAAACACCCATGATAAGTAGTTCACCTACTGCTGTTCTGTGTTCAAGTCCATTATTTCTGATTTTTCAGACAGAATTCCCCTTTAGAAGATGAAATCCAAATTCTATTAAAGTGTAGATTTGTAAATGGTTGAAACTGTGAAGGACAAAGATTTTTAGTTATTTGATGTTTGAGTCCTTCAAATCTTCATCTGCAAGCTCACAAATGCTTGATTTAAAAACGGAGCCTATATCCTTCAGAAATCGTAGTTCTTTCATTATGAATCCTTCTCTGTATGTTGTCTGTTTAAAAATATAGTATATCTTCTAGTTCATTTTTAGATACTTGAAATCACTCTAAATTAGATGCCTTTCAGGCTTGATTATCTTTATTTAATCATTTGCAATTTGGAGGTTATATCAGCCTTACATCCAAATCTTGGGGTAAGCAAACTAGTGTAATGGATCATTCAGATGCTGGCATCATCCCACAAACTTGTGGTATATTAGGCTGTGAAGGGGATCCTCCTGCTTTTTTCTGTTGTTTTTGCAGTTGTAATGGAGTTCTATTTATTTGTTACCACATTATCCCTAACATTTCCGAGAGCCTCACTCCATTTTCTTTCTGAACTTAAAATCCACTTTGCTTTGTGAGGTTCCACAAATTGCATCTTTATAAAAAGAATACCTTAACTAATTCATTTGCAATGAAATTTCGTCATAAATGTTTATACAATAAGCTGCTAAAATGCTTGACTTAAATTCCATGCTGCAGTTCCCTCTTTGCTGTCAAAATGCTAAAAGAACTTTTGTTTCCAAAGTATTTGTGAGTGTTAATTTAGGGCCTGTTATAAGGAAGTTTTTTGAGTGCTGAGCAGATAAGACCTGTCAATGGGAGGAAAGTTTCTCAGAAGATCAGATTAGAATCAAAGCAAAATGTGTCACTGTGTAGGTATGATTTACTAGTTCTGGTTTATCCTAAAAGCTTCTGGTTTTTCACTGTTGGGAAAGCTCTTCATTAAGTGTTTTTGACAAGACCATGATTCAAAGCAGAACATTTCCACATTTTATGGCATAATCTGAGCTTCCGTTATGGATAACGGAACAATTGATATAAGGTATTGCCTTATTTGCACCTCTGTTGGCATCTAGTGAAATGTTGGCTTTATTTTTCTTTAAAAAACAGAACAAGACAATTTAGAACGTAGAAAAATACAGAACATGAAGTGCTCATGACAAAAAGAGGGAAGGGGGGCTAATCAGACAGATTTGGATCAAAGAAAATATATGTCCAAATGGTTTTGAGTGGATTGTTCATAAATCAATTTACAAGGTTACAAATATCTCATTTTCTTTTTATCTACACATTTTGGGAAGCTTTTATGCATATGCATTTGCTCTGGATTAAACTATGTGGTCCAATGGTACAACAGCACCGATCCAAAAATAAGAGCTTTAAAATTAAGTTACGGGTCCAAATAGATTTTAAACATATACAGTAAGTTTTTTTCTTCTTTAGTGATATGGCTTCAAGAGATTATTTAGTTCATCATGGAGATAACTCGCATAACCTGAAGAGTTCAGCGCTTTGAGATTTTTTATTTCTTGAGACAAAAATTAACTTGCGGCCAACTGCCCCCCACAATTTTATTAGACAGTCTGTTTTTATAATCTTAATGTATGCCACTTTTGTTTAACTAAATTAGTGTCTCTCCTTCTTTGATTTCTGTTGGTTCCATCTCAATTTCTAAAACCTGAACATTTCATTAAAGATTATTCTTTTCATCCTGTTAAACATTTCTCAACACAAAAAGATCATTTCAGAGTTCTGTGTGAGGTTAGAAAGCATTTCAGTAGCTTTAAAATGGCCCATTATTAGACCTCATTGTAGTACAAAAGTTTTCTTTTCATCTGGTTTTCATTTGGAGTCTTATGCTTAATGATGGGTTAAGTATGAAAGCCCCCATTCTGTAAGCAGGTGACATCTGAGTTTCCTCTAGCCTCTGCTAAATTGAGGATGTGGTTATCAAAAACTTTAACTGCTGTGTGCTTGATAAAAATAAATACATATTTTATATTAGTAATGGTTTTATAAACCGCAAAATATATTAGTGTCATTGATAGTATGGTTGTATTCCATCTTGTTGATTGTTGATGTGTTTTTTTCTAACCTTGGTTACCTTTTAGTTACTTTAACTTACTGAATGTTTGCTAATTAGAACACAGAGCCTTTATGGGACTAAAAGAATCACTCAAAACTTTCCCTAAAAAATGCAAAATATTAAAATATTAAAAATTCACATTACAGCTGTTCGTTAAGAAACATTTCCCTCAGCTGGATGTATGCCATGCTCAGATTCCACCGCCCTGGACTGGCCAAGGCCTTTAATGACACTTTGCGGAGAAAAGGTCCAAAGAAAGTTTCTTTGGCTTGAGTGCTTTATTTTCTGTTTGTGACAATCCAGCTACTGTACATTTGCACAGAGCAGCACAGTCCTTGCCACTGGCACTTTCTCTGTGACAGTGGGCCTGTGGGCTGACATAAAGTGCAGTCTGTTGTTAACTGGTCAAATGGGAGTCTGCCAGAAACTCAGCAGACAGAACTAATGGGGGAGAAAAAAGGATTTCCATGCCTTCCTCCCTCCTTCCAAATTTTTTTCTCCTTTAAGACGGTTATTATTAAAGTAACGGATTTATGAAAGTTTCGGTTTCTCTGGTATTTAATGGGTTGTAACTTTGTTTTGCAGGTCAGCAAGCACGTCAGGATGGAGGCTGGCACAGAACCCAGCACAGGATACGCAACTCATCACAGTTGATGAGAAACTGGTAAGATCCTTTATGCATCACCCACCAAATCTATTGTGCCTGAAGCACAGAATGCAGTTGCATGAAGCAATTATTGTATGCTGAAATGTTCAACCAGCATCAACTGAACCACACAGTTAATAGAATCTATACGTTTGGTTAACGTGGAAGTTCTAAAGAGCTGGGCACAAGCAAAGTTTAAAAAGAGGAGGGACAGTTTTTATCTGTTTATACTCAAATGTACTACTAGAGGAGGATGATGGAGTAATTGGTGTTGAAAAACATAGTTTGTGTCAGTTGATCACAGTTGTGACCTCTCTTGACTAGCAGTCAGTTTCTAATCTCTTATTTACAGTTATCTGTAAATTAACCTTCAGAACTTCTTATCTGTTTGGGGGTCACTGTGAGAGCATTTTGAATAGTAGGTTCCAGAGGGGCTTCAGATGGAGAGAAAGAGAAAACATTCTTAATTTATCACTTTAAAAAAGATAGTATGTCATGTGGCGTTTGACACATTTATATTGTATTATACACTTTGATTTTCAGCAGGTGCCATAGTACAGTATATACAGATAAATTTAACAACCCACTTTTAAAAGGTTGTTGTGCTACAATAATAGGTCTTTATTAGGTTTACTAAAGTTTAGTAAAGTTTATTAAGCTTCATTAAACATGTTCCTATATATAACATTTAAAGATAATATTCTAGTCCTTTGTATTTGTTGTTTTACAAAAATAATAATCTAGTCTAGTTCCTTTAGACTTGTCAATTTGTGAATACAACAGAATTTTCCTGTTTTGCTTTGAATATGTTTTATCTAGCAGAAATAAAACCAGAAGTGGATGTTTTAGTTTTGGAAAGGCAGATTTCTTTCAAATTGAAAGTTTTGTACAGTAAACCTGTACAGTTTACCTGTATAAGTTTGTAAGAATTAGGTCCTGAAACCTTTCAACGTCAAGTGCATTAACATTTGTCAGAACACCATTTCCTTGAGGTGTTTAAAACAGTGTGGAGCACATTACATGCTATTGGGAGTCAGGCTGTTCCATCTGCACTTTTGAACCTGAACAGAGTACTCCTTACATCTTATTTCTTGAGATTGAGAAGAATATACAGAGAAGAGTATAAGGATTTTTCTATATAGTGCACATCTTGAAATACCTAATTATAAAATCTTTTAAGCATATGTGGACAGATATATAGAGTGAAAAAGTGACATACATAAACCGTACATTATGCTACACAAGATATACAAATGCAGCACTACAAAACTAGCATAACTGAGATTTCTTAAACTTGTGTAAAGTAACTTTGACTGTAGCTGTACTGCATCACCCTGTACTGTATTGTGTAATGTAGAAGTTCCAACTGTGGGACTTTGGCATTTATTAAATATTTACAGAATTCTATGTGATCACCCTTGCAGTGAACTTTATTGCCAAAAGTTAATTATCGGTGTAAGTATATATGTGTGTAGTACTTTTGGTTTTACCATGCACAGAGTACTGTCTCTGCGAAAAGAAATTAAGACTGTTTGCCTGTCACACACAGGCTGTATTCCTGGCCAAAAAACAAAATCTAATATTTTAGAAGACAACTGAAGCAAAGCATAGTTTGAAAATGTATAGTTATGTTGAATGATCCCATTCTTTGTAACCCTTAATTTATGTTAGGAAAAATTTCAAGCAATGTGAAAATGAATTTTGCTTCATACAACATTCCTCCAATTAGAATTTCAATATATAAACTTTATTTGTTCCCATGAGTGGTCAAATATAAAAGTTGATCATTAAGATGCCATGAAAGTGTCCTTCTTGTGTGCATGTTATCAGCACAACTTTATCGCACTGTTGAAATGTGTTGTCAAGCGATTGTGTTTAGATCTACGGTCTGTCATGTGACATTCACAATTCCAGTGGTGTTGGAGAACCACTCAATTTCTTACTGCTCAGAATAATCCTGTTGTTTTACAACAGATTTTGTCAAAGGAGATTTTTGTCTTGATGGGTTAGTAGTATAATAAAAATAAAGAAAAAAATCTAACGTATTTCAAAGGCCTCTGCAATAAGCCCTCGGAAAAACCTGAAATCTAAGCAAAAGAACTAGACAGAAACAAGGGAAGTGTATTGCACAGCCTAGTTGCATAGCAGGTAAAATACTCTGTGATTCCACAGATACTCTGTGAAATCTAGTCCTTGATAAAAATGTATCAGGAGGTCAGAAATACCTCAAAAAGTCAACAACAACTTAACATGTATAAAAATGTCAGGAAACTAGTGTAAGGTTTTTAAGGTTTTCTGATGACAATATGTTTATCAGAAAGAGTCCTATTCGGAATCCTGGCTTCTGAATTTTGAATATACTGGTGATTTTGGAAGATGTTCTTTGAGGCCTGGCGCAAAGGGCATTGCAGTAGTTAAATCTGGATGAAACAAAATAATTTATTAGTTTCTCTGCAGTTGGAAAAAGCACAACCCCAAGATGAAAGTAAAATACCATAACAGTATGCTGTGTATTTGGCTCAAAAGTTAGTTTATGTTATAAAAATAATCCCCAGATTTTTCATTTTTGCACAAAACTCAGTTTGGGTACCATCAATAACCATGTTTAGACAATCTGATTTTCATAGTTTATGCGGAGAACCTAGTAACATGAACACAGTCTTCTCACTCATCAATTGCAGATTTTGCTGCATATGTATTTTAACATTAGCTATGCAATTTGTAAGAAACTCCCATGTCAGCCTTGCCTTGTAAGTATATCTGAGTTTGGTATTCATAAAGGTGGAAATTAATACTGTGACTTCAAACATGATAGGAGATAATTCCATGAATATTCCCATCTTTTCTAAGATTTCCACAGCCTTTCCATTACCCACATCTCTGTTCTGAAAATACTAATAATCAGATTTAGTTGGACGAGAAACAGACTGGTCTCAGTGCTCCAATCTTTGGAACCAGAATCAGATGCTGTTGTGAGCTCTAATCTCCCTGCACTATGAAGTAAAAGAGAAAAAGAAGAAAGAAGCCATGAGATGTCATAAAGATGGTGAAAAATATGGTGTTATGTTCAATCCCTGCTTAAAGAAAACGTGTACACATACATCTGTGTCAATAAAGGAAAATGATATATGTAATTGATCTTTTAAATAATTTTTTTGTACAACTTGTTTCTTTCATGTAGATTTGTTTGGTTTGTTGTGTTTGAAATGAGTGAGGATATTGCAGTTTCTCTTTCGGAGCTGTCGGTAGAGTGGATATGGCAAATGGAGAATCCTGTTTTCATTCATGCTGCCCGATAAGGAAGATCAATTACTGGCTTCAAAAACATAAGTAAATACTGATGTGTACATTGTGTACTACCGGTCCCTAAATAGAATGTTTTCCTGGCAGTCTTTTTTATGGAAGAAGCTCAAAATAACAGTGTCAGATTAATGAGCAAGTTGTTGTACATGAAATGACATGAAAACATTCTTCATTTTACAAGCCAGTACTTTTTTTTTAAAGCATCAGGTATCCAATTGATTAATAAAACCATTAGTGTTTCCTATTCCAATCCTTCTGCAACATTTGTTGAGATTGTTTTAGAAAAAGCATCTAAATATGTGGATCTAGGGCATGTACAGTGCTGTTACAGAACTGATTAGTCCATGTGTGAATGTGTTTACCATAACATTTTTGTACCAGTTTTCAGCAGTAGATGCCTAGAAGATTTTGGAAAATACTATAGATTTCACTTGTTTGATTGTACCATTGATGTGAACGATGGAAGTTGTATAAAAACAGCCAAATCTTCATAAAGATCCCTTTTTTAACTTCCATCAATAGATTAGTATCTTCTCTGCTTTTTCTCTTAGTTTTAGTCATTGTGTTACATTTGGTCCATTAATCATTTGATTCAATGGCTGTTAACCAAACGGATGTTTATTTGTTTTGTATTGTGTGGTGTGTACTGTATATCTATTTTAAAAAAGTTTCCAACATTATTATCTGGTATACCAGTCATATGGCAGGTGTTCAGTTGATACCAGCAGAAAATAGTTTGGTTTCATAATATTTAATGTTGGAAAAAATAAGTTAGCTGGTTTGCTGGCTTTAATATGCAGTGGGGTTCCTTTTCAATAAGGTAAATTATAATCAATGGATTTAAAAAGTAAATCTATGGGAAAAGCTTTTGAACCCATATTTGTAGTCCCTTCTTACTTGATAGTGAACTCTTCAATATTATTTATCATATTGCATCATGCATGTTATTTTTCATTTTTTTCTAACTGTGTTTCTTTAATGTGGTCAGAATTGTATGTACCACTAATGTACAGGTTTACTGGAAGGTACTACAAAATGATACTTACACTGCCTTACAGATTCACATCCCTGAAGAGGATCAACATATTACATTAGAGAAAGACTTACAGATGTGTCCTTTTGGAAAAACTTCAATAATATGTCACATTGTAATCTTAACATCGCAGAGTAAAAACTTATTTGTAATAATTTTAAGATCCAGAAAACATGAAGGCCACGTTTATAAATTTTATTTTGTAAATCCTTCATTTCTTGGCACTTCTGAGGCATCCTCCAGGCAGATCTGCAGTAGATCCTTTAGACTCTTGGTTTCCATTTGTGAAATACCTTCTCAAGTTCAAACCACAGTTGTTCGATTGCATACATTTCTGGACATTGTGTCTCGATGGTGAGTTGAGAACTTGTCCGTTTTCCCTCCATATTTCACAGAGGGCATGACTTCTTTTTCAGTGTCAGCTACACCTCTTCACACCAAGCATACCTTTTTTTTATCTCCTCTTCTGGGGTTCACCCTTGAGAAGAGGCTTTTTCTGTCACCTGTCCCTGAATTCCATCTTTATCCAGGCTACATTCAATAGTAATTTCCGATACTTTGTATCCTTATGATGTCAGTGTGTACTGGAGGTCTACAGCTTTTGCTTTTGGATTGACGGTTGCCTCCCAAACCACTTGTCTCACTACCTGTGGTAGTAAGATATATTTGCTTCCTCAACTTG